GCTCCAGGGGGCTGGTGATGGGTGGGGGTTAGCTCCAGGGGGCGGGGCTTAGGTATACAGTCAACCATTCAGTTACAAACAATCTAGAATTTAGGTTTTTTTTCTTCTCCGCTATAAAGATAAATAATTATTTCCATCAAATCAAAAACAACATATAAAAGGAAAACGTTACAATGTAAAATATTTATTAATAAACAAAAAAAAACCCGATCAGCTGACGTCCACCTAAACATTTCATGTAGCCCACACGTTCCGTGTTCACATGTGACCTCCGCCTGACACGTGCCATGAATATTTTTTTTTTAGAACTGGAAATAAAATGTACATGGAAGACGCGCGGCGCTCGGACTCTGCGCCGGTCACCTTCATTCTGGGAGCTGCTGAATTGGACGAGTCGCAGCGCTGTCGCCCCCTGCTGGACAGTCCCAAAGAAACATCAGCTACCGCCTCCTTGAAATAATTCTGAATGTACAAAACTGCACTTCTGTACGAATGTCACATTCCCTGAAATTAGCACTTCGCTCGGCCTATTGCCGGCTCTGGAACCCACAGAACTTCCTCTGTGACATTAGGATGATGGAACCCAGTCGTCGCTCAATGCTCCGGACTCAGCAATGGCACCGGTACCACGCAGAGGAGGGCGTTAATGACAGAATTTCCCAGCATCCCCTCCCCCCTGCAATGGTCTCACTGCCCTTCCTGCAAAGAGTCTGAGGTCAATACCTGGCAGCTTGTTCAAAGCAATACGAGGTACGCCGCGCCGCACGGGGCGTTCCATCTCTGGGGAAGTGCACACGGTGCTGCACGGCATTTCGAGGCACGCCAGGGTGCGCGCAATGTTTCCTTTCACATCTCTGGGACTGATCATGTGATTAAAGCAATACCGGACCTTTTGTTATCGCCACCCCGCCAGTATGTCCGGCGCAGGCACGGCACAGATCTGCTCGCATTAAGCTGCCAAAACACAGAGCCAGCCCCGGCTCATTCCATAAAGCAATGCGCGGTACGCGGCCGTGCGCCCATTGGCTATCCTGGATCGCTTTCCTAAGCCGAGTTATGAACCCCGTCGCCTATAGAAGCTCCATGTCTTCTGCTATTTGGAATCAGACCAGTCTCTAGAGCAGGGGCAGCCCACTCCAGCTGGGGTGAAACCACAAATCCCATGATGCATCTCTCTCCGGGAGTCGTGGCTGTGAGAATCTTGCAATGCTTTATGGGATTTGTAGTTCCCCCACAGCTGGAGGGCCGGAGTTTGGCTACCAATGCTCTAGAGGCAAGTCCGTAAATGTGTTCAGCCCTCACCAGCCAATAATAATAATAATAATAATAATAAGGAGCCAGGCTGGGGCTTGTCCTTGGCTAGGGGGTAGTCAATCTTGGCTCTCCAGCTGTGCTGAAACTACAAATCCCATCATGCTTCTGCCTCTGGGAGTCATGCATGTGGCTCGCAATGCCTTATGGGATTTGTAGTCTCAGCACAGCTGGAGAGCCGAGGTTGCCTGCCCGTCCTAGGCCCTGAACGGCCGCTGCATCCAGGATGAAAAAGCCGGCAGCGGTTACAAATTCAATGCTGATGTGACTTTATTGTTCTGCACAAACAAACACAGACAACCCACAACCCCCTCCCCCCCCACCTGAGACCTCCTCTTACGATGCATTTCACACAAATGACTGAACTAAATCATGAAGATCCCAAAACCACCTATGATTCAGCCCAGTTTTTTTTGGGGGGGGGGGCGTGGCGGAGCATAGCAGTTGAGGATGTCTCAGGCAGGGGGGGGCTCTGCGTTTGCTTGTCCTGAACAATAAAGTTATATCCGCATTGAGTTTTTAAATGGACTCCCACTGGATGTTACAGGCACCTGCTGCACTTCAATGAGGCTGTGAAAGTGCTGATGGGAATGTTCCGGAACACAGAGAATATACAGCCGGACGTCTCGCGAGTCGCCTGACCCGACCACAAACGTGAAACTATTAGGAAAAAGAAAACAAAATGGCGCCGAGGTCAGCGCGTTCCTTTCCTCGGACCGTCAGCAATCCTGAGCCCCGATCAGCTTCATTTTCTGCAGGTGGGCGCGGGAGTTTTTGGCGAAGACGCTTTTCACGATCTGCAGCGGAACGTTCTTCCCGCTCAGATAGATTTTATTTTGGCAGTCCGGGAGGCAGCCGGCGGCGGCGTCCGCGCGATCCCCTTTCTTCAGCATCCACACGTAAGCCAGAATGTAGCCGGTCATGAAGGCGTCAAAGCCGGCCCTGTGGGTCCCCGCGTCAGAGGTGCTCGGCGGTTTCTTTTTGTGGTGACCCCCGCCAATGGTTTTGCTTAGGGACGAATCCGTGACTACAACCACTGGAGGTCCATTGTGGTCTCCGCTCTGATTGGAGGAGAGCGTCTCCGCGTGCGCTTCCTTCACCTCTGACTGGTCAGAGGACCGCACACCCGTCTCCTCCATTAAGTCTTCTTTCTTGGTCTCCATGTGGACCCGCCCCTTCTCCTCCTCTCGCTCGGGGGTCTCAGGAGGGTCCAGAAAGGGCTTTCTACAAGGAGGTTCCATGCTCACCTCCTCGTTGGTCTCTTCTTCTTGTGCCGCGGCTTGCTTTTTCCTCTTCCGTCTCTTCCTCTTCTTCTTGTCTTCTCGGCCCTTCTCGTCCTCGTCAATGATCAGGTCGATGTTGTGCGAGAGCTCGCACTTTGCCCCGTCGGCGCACCAGCCGTATGCCTGTAATACAGAGGAAACGTTAGACATCCGGAGAATAGCATTTCTCTACGCGTCGTACAATCTTGAAGGCCGCGGCGGGGCACAGGAATTCAGATACTGTCGGGTTAACTGCCTCTTACAAAAAGGACTGGACACCGGCAAACATAAAACAACGGTGGGCCGGCTCAGGATCCTGTACTCAGTCTGAGGCAAGCAAGACCGAGAGCATTAAAAGTAATCACGAGAGGGTCGGAACCAGTGGGCTCCAGAAACAGGATACAAGTACAACTACAGTTCTTTCTTGCACATTGGAGGGACACTGCAATTCAGATGCGGCCGGGACATCCAACTGAGGGGGAGGAGGGGTGGCAACACAAAAACAAATCACTAAGGGGCCCAATGAAGAGATCTGGGGACAACTGCCTGAAGGACTGACACCCAAATCGGAGCCCTGATGGTGGCCGAGCCCCCCTACAAGACCAGAGGAAGGACACAGAACCAACCTCCGGCCCAAAACCTCCAGAGAAGTCACCCCCTGAGGGAAAGTAAATAAAAGTAATTCACTGGCACACACTCGAAGGGTTTTTAAAGTATTGATATGTTTATTCAACACCCAATGTCACATGCTGTCATACGGTGCTAACGTTTCGGGTCCGCACCGGGATCCTTCATCAGAGCGTCAGTGACACTTCAGGTGTGTGCCGGTGAATTACTTTTAATTTACTATTAGTGTTTTGCACGGCGCCGTCCGTGTGGTCACCTGGGCGACACATATACCTTGTGGTTTTGAGACCGTGGCAGTGCGAATGGGATTTGGACTTTGTTTTCCCCTGAGGGAAAGGACTCCGAATAGAAGAGAAAACCAAAACCTGGACCGGCGAGGACAATGGGTGGGAAGTGACTCCGATCCCACGATATCCATCAATCCCACAAGGGTAGGAAGGAATTGGACGTCAGACCGCAGCCCAGGACTGGGGAGATGATACTGAGGATGAAGATGACGCACAAGAGATACCACTGAGGCTGCCTGACCCCCCCCGGACCCCAAACTTCAGATCTAAAGAAAGCCCCCGATCCCTCGGATCCAGTGACGTGACAAGGGGCAGGAATCCGCACAGCGCAGCTAACAGCACTCGCCTGATCGGGGGCGGAACGAGGGCAGGCATCTGAAGAAACTTCCTCAAGATGAAGGACCCGACCCCAACTGGAAAGGTCCCAGAAAGTCAGTCGCCCCCCGGCTTCTATCAGAGGGGGCGGGAGCACAGCGCCCTTCACTAATGACCTCCGCCTGCCCGGCACAACCATAGCGCCGGGGTCTATGAGACACGCAGCACTTAGGCCCGGTTCACACCTGCGCGTTCCTACGCTCTGTAAAAACGCTCAACATGTGAAAACCAATGATTGCCTATGGGCGTGGCTCCCACCTGGGCGTTTTACAGCGCTGCAAAACACCCTACGCCCAAAGAAGTACAGGGGCTCCTTTGGGGCGTATTTGCCGCGCGTATCCATTGGGATACAGCCAGGTAGCCCTCGGAAACGCGTGGTTTTTTACCCTGAATCGCAGTACAAACGCGCATATTCGATACGCCTAGGTGTGAACCCGGCACTTACAGCAGCTGACCTTTCACCCCTGACTCTCAGGCTAAGCAGTCCTCCTCAGACATGGAGGGGGTGGGGTGGGGGGATGGGTATTAAAAGGCTGAACAACTTACTACTGAAGATTCGACATTTTGTGGAAGAAAACATATCGGCGTTGCCGCCCGGCACGCGAATGTGAAAACGAGGGAGGAGAGACGACACTTACGGAGAACCTCTCGCAGACGGGGGCCGGTTCGGCGGCAGAGGCGACGGGTTCCTGGTCGGGGAGGGAGCACAGCCGATAGTCCACATAAGCCGACATGGTTGCAGAATAGTGACAGAACTCTACGGAGAGGTGACTGGTGCTGGAGTCCATCCGCCGGCAGTTCTCACGCTTGCTGCATGACAAAAAAAACATGCGTTCTGATATTTACATAATTCATGACAATGGAAGCTGACTACAGAAGGGTCAGTCTGTCCGCTGCCGCCACTCTCCTCACATCAGACACACGTTAGTCCCCGCTCCCTCACTGAGAAACATGCAATTCATTCTTCAAACCATTTTTTTCCCCTCAAGAAATAGTTTCTTTCTGACGCGGTGGCGTCATCACTGCGTCCTTCTGCCGGTCTCTGCTCGTAGTTTGATGGGAGGCGCCAAGAGCTGGAACGTTCAATGAAAAACATCCCTGGCTTCCCATCAGACATGCACCCGGCTCACTGATGGCCCCTGGGTGCCGCAGACCTTAGTCGCTTCATCACTCGCTCATAGTACACGCAACGCTCAATTACGTTCTGCAGCGTCCAGAGGTCAGCAGGAACGCACATCTAAAGGGATGCAGGGGATGTGTTCTTTCATATAACATGTGACAACAGCAGTACAGTGACTGAGATA